ATCTCGGGTTCACGTCGCGTCGTACATTTCAGAGCACAGGAGATTTTTATCATCGGCAACTTGCTCGTACAAATGAAGCCGGGGAAACCCGAGTGCCCATGAATGAACAGAAACAGCTTGACAAAATAGCACACTGTCTGAGTATTGCAAACAAATTTGCTTTCAATTCCCTGCAGCCGTTCCAATACTTCACATTGACGCAAATATATAATTGAGGTAGTTGTCTTGTTTCAGCAAATGTAGTTTTGTTTTGTTTTTCCACGAGTTATGCTTAAAAATTATGTTTAAGTTTTAAGGAAAATAATGTGTGCAGACACTATGCAGGTTTAAAAGTCTTATTCAAGCACTATTAAGGACATAAATGATAAATTTTGCTTCCAAGCACCTTACAGCTGCACTATGTTTCAAGCTGATATAAATTTATGGTCCCAGCAATAATTTAATTTTGCTGTCACAAATGGTCAATAAACTAGTTTTTGCAGCGGCATAAGTGTATGTGGTCACGCAACACAAGACGTCAGGCTCAAGTAATAATTTTGTTTGGAGAGAAAATCGTTGTTTCAAAATTCAAAGTGCAAATAAACCTGACTTGCACACTTAATAGACAACAAAAGCAATTACAATTCAAAGGTTTTAACAATGTGGTCCAGTTGCCTTGTTAAGTATTTACAAATCTGGGAAAGTACCAGCAGCCCTTTACAAAGTGGGCCATTTCTGTCAGAATTTACAACTTTTATTTGTTTTCAAGCAGTGAATTTGTGTACTTAGAACACACAAATATAGCAGCATTAAATAAAACTGCTGTTAGATCAATGAACACTTGAGCTGTCAGTGAAGTGTCGACAACGACAAAAAAAAAAAAAAAAAAAAATGCCGCTGTTAATGTGTCTTCTTGGTGGTGTTCCACACATGGCTGAAATGCGCCCTGCTTGGGGGGGGAGCAGTATTACACAGAGAAAAGTGCTCGTTGAGCAAGGCCAAGGCAAGGCTCTTGACATTCTAATTAGGGAATTTGTTGCTCCAGTTTAGCGGTGATGGAGCGGGGGCTCTTTTATCAGGCAGACCAGGCCACATACCTGGCAAGCTGCGACACCAATCCCAGCCAGACGCTTTTCTATGGCCCACATCTCTGCACTGCTCTCCACGGGCAAAAATAAATGAACCGCCGGATGCTGCGATAAAAAGGAGCCAAATGTGATAACTGACTATTTTGGAAGAAAAAAAAAAATAGAAGGGCTAAGTTAATTTCCTGCATGTTCTTTAGACTTATGTGGAAATGCAGGCTTGAAATTGTTTTCCCAAAATAATGCCCTTCATATTTTCCTGTCTACTGCATTAAAGTGACAATTTTTTTTTTTTTAATGTGGTGTAATTTGCCCTACCTGCTGCCATCATTCAGAGCTATTATCTTTCATTAGAGCAACTGGAGATTTGCCCTTGCAATCACATTCAAGGCAATTACTGAGCTTTAAATGTGCTACTGTGACTTGCTCAAAAAAATAAATAAATAAAAAAGTAGAAGTCTTTTGGGTAAATCAGGTGACAGAAGTTCCGCAACACTTTTTATGTTAAAACTGTATGACCTGCCCGCAGAATATTATTAAAATAATCTCCGGCCTCAAATTGTGCCGCTAATTGTATTTTAATTATGATCTAAAAACCGCAACAATAGCAGCCTAGCGAGAAAGAGGAGGGTTGCCATGGTGATGCCATGCACACAAGGGTGCACATGCAGCCTCACCGTGTCATCGAGGACAACCAGCTGCCTCGGTTTTCTTAGCCGGATTTACTTTTGGTTAGCAATTAAAGTTAAAAAGAAGGAACTGCAGAGATATTGAAACAAACACTCCATGAGGAAGAAAGTCAAGCGAGCAATGTTGCAGCCATGACCAAGAATGGCTTGTTGATCTGCACATTCTTCCAGTAAATGTCTCATGCATGTTAGGGAGAGATGTGGTCAGGGATGTATTGGGCCCCAAATTCAGACTGAGAAATTGCTGAGGCTAACCTGTAGGATTAAGATTTATTGTATACATATTTGCTGAATTGTAGGCTCTACTTATGTTTTATTAAAAATGTGTGTTGGAAATGATTTAACAGGGAACTTTGATTAAAATTGGGAGGGGTTCGTTGCAAGGGCAAAGGTCCATACCTCTTGTTTTCATTAGCGTAGCAAACACGTCAAACAAAATAAAAGTGTTGCATTTCGTCTCAGCATCGGCACTGACACATTCCTTTATGACTGAGACATAGCTACAGTAAATGCTCATTTACGTTGCACTAAAATCCACGCTATCATGAGGAACATTCATTTGAGCTTCAGGCGTGTAGCTCTGCTGCTCGGAGTTCTGTTTGGTTATAATAAAGTCACCACCTCACAACATGGGACACAAAAGGTTTTCAGCTGGCTTCTGGAAGAACAGAAAAGTACTACATTCATTTTTAAAAACTCTCTTTTCTGGGCCATGCCATCTCGTCTTGTCAATACTTTTGCCTCTTACATGGAGTTGGGTGGCATCTCCTCGGTGAATCCCATAAGAGAATATGGAGTAGGACAACAGCCGGCGCTAAAATGAAGTTAACTGAAAGATAAGGCTGAATGGGACGGGAAATTGAAACGTTTCCTTCCATTGATTAATATGGGCAATGCGAAGTTACACGCCAACAAAACGGACAAACTAACTAACAGCTGTTAGAGCTGTGATTGCGAAATTATAATTTCAGCATCCCAGCGCTCTCACACGGATCAACAACAGGGATAAAAACTGGACCGTCTGTACAATAATTTTCTCCCTCCTCTGAGCAATCTGACCCCAAATTCATACACTTGGAGATCAACAACAGGTTAGTAGCGAAACAGCATGGACATAAGACATGCAGCAGAATGGTTTCAATATCACCAACAGATTTTACGTTTTGAAAGAGAAATAATTTTCTTTGAAACTAAATATTTTACTTTTTTTTTTTAACTAGTGTGACACCTCAATTTCCCCTCTAGGGATGAATATAAGATAGCTCACTTTATCCACAGTATCTTAATTAATTGGTTCTACACACTGAGTATTCTCAACTTGTCATTTGTCAAACATCAAAGCCAGCATTCGTAAACTCATCCCACGATAATAATAGTTGACAAAATCAGGTTTCCATGATGCTCCCTTGATCTTGATTAAGGAAGGCATGGCCAGAACAGTGTAACAGGAAATCAATGTCATATTGTGGCATTATAAAAGATAGAAAAAGAAAGTAAAGGAAATAAACTGTCACGTTTCAAGTTTTGGTGATGATGATGATGACGAAGTCCTTCAAGGGTCATACAGAAAGTCATTTCAGTCTTTTCTTTTTTTCAGGTCCACAAATGCTTGATTTGCTTTTAGAAGGGCAAAAGAAGTTGGATCTTAATCCTCTCGCCACATATGGCCCGCAAGCCAAAAGTTTCCCCCTGCAAGATGAAGATGTATGCCTGGTCCTGTTCTCTTAAATCTCTTTGATTCCAATCCATGCTTGGAATGATCCAATGCTACAGTAAGCCAATAAGTCTGAACCAGCGTTCTTATTAGTCCGTCTCATTCAGTGTGTAGCGGAGGCGCCAAATCAATACGGTTCCTCAACACACATATCTTAAAAAGTCTCAGAAAAAAAGCAGCATCCGGAGTGCTCAATCACACAGTTCTTTTCTGTCTAACACCAGTTACTGGCCTGCCGACAGAGCTTGGCAGAGCCATCGGCAAGATCATTACAGGCTGCTTCAGTGTGATGTCATAACAGCCGGGCTCATCACACAGGGTCGTACCAATTTTCTGTCCTCGTTCTGTAAATATCAATGTGATTCCTCACAACAGGATCGTACAACGTCAAGAATGTGACTGCCCGGCTGCTTTTCATGCTTACAAATCTTGTTATTCATACGGGAGCTTTCAGCCGTCTGCTTCTTCAGGGTTACATTCGAAGTATGTTTACTCAAAAATTCAACGCCTTTATATTTCTTGATGATTTCGGCAATGTGAGCTTTGCTTCACAACCAACAAGTTTTATCCACACAAGATGTTGAGTTTCTTTCCAGTTACACGCTCGTTGATCAGAAATAGATATCGGTAAAAATTTGTGGTGTCGGCAGTCTTAGGTGTGTTAAATTTTCGACTTTTCAATTGAAGGCCATTTGGATGCAATTCAGACTTTTACGTTAAAAATGCGACTACATGACAAGAGCATGCTGTGCCTACATGTGCACACCTGTTATTGTTGATTATTACACTAAACTATAAAACAAAGTAAAAAAGAAATTAAAACGTGTTGACATTTTTTACATGCTGTTATTCTGCGTGGCATTTTAACAGCACTCAACAACTGATTTAAGGATTATCTGTAATTTATCTTGACTATGGCTTTGATAAAAAAATTAATAACAATAATTTGCAGCCTAAACATTGAACCCCGGAACCCTGCATCTCGCTCCTGAGACCATATAGAAAATGGATGGATAGTAACACTGTGTTATTTACTATTATAAAAATAGATTTGCACATTTTAAGTACCTAAATGGCCCCGGCCATGACATGAGGGATTTTTTTTTTTTTTTTTTTTTTTTTTTCTGGTGAGCCGCTACGTCACTCATCTCTCCCTTGAGAGTGTGTGAATTGGTTCTCTGTAGTGTATTGCATACTTCAAACAGCATAGAGAAAGTGAACTTCCCCCTTTGGGATCCACAAAACAGTATCAGCAAGAAGTTATTTTTGTAAATTGGAGCTGTTCACGCTGTACATTTTGCCAGCATCTGTCGGTGTCTCGCATATTTGACCTCGACGTGCCGATGCCATACCCAGCTCGTGGCGTGCTGACAGAAACATCTGTCATCCCGTCAGAATGCTTGCATATGCATGAAGCCTTTTTAGTATCCAACACATGTATGAATGCTGGAATGAAGTACGTCATGATGTTGTTTGACGGGGTGAGGAATAATCCAAACTAAAAGAGCAGAAACAAATCTCAAGAGGACTCACCCAGTAGAGCTGACATGTTCTGGAAAATTCTGAGCAGCTCGGGGGTGATGGCAGGACTGTTCTCCAAGGTCACATACCTGCATGAAGAGAGGGCCGAGGGAGAAGAGAAGCCTTTTGTTAAAAGTCTCACAACCTTTGAAACTGGAGGAAAAAAAAAATGGAACAGTTTATCTTCAACACCGTTGTCAAACACATGTGGCTTTTTCTCTATATGTATGAGAATTCGAGCGGAAAGATTTGATCTTCTACACAACAAATAACTGATATCAATCAAGAGAGCAAGTTGACACGAGATAAAACCCGAATGGGATGACAACCTAACTGTAAACAAAGCAAATGGATATTTTAAGCGGGACTGTTTATCGGAGAAGATAAAAGAACAGGACGGAAACTGAGGCTTTTTTTTTTTTTTTTGCCCCAAGCCCTTACATCACGCTAATCCTGCAGTGCTCGGCGGCAACACAAAGACAGAGATTAAGGACAAGAGTTAAAAAGACAAGAGATGACAGGAGGGCAACAAAAAAATGGTAACACCTGCAAAAAAAAAAAAAAATCCCCGCCACTCGGCCAACCATTTCGCAGGTGCAACAAAAGGTGATATGAGAGTGTTCTTTCAAATGTACCCAAAACATTCGGTGAGAAGAGAGACCATGCACTACGCTATGTAGCCACAGCGCCGTCTATGCCCGAGTGGATGGAAATATATCTTTATTTATAGAAGCAGAATTAAAACATAATGACAAGGGGCAACCCATTTACCAGTGCCTGTGTCATATTGTAAGCGATAGCATTTGGCTTCTACACATTTATAAAACCCAATTCCATTCAAGTTGGGACACTGCGTAAAACATGAATAAACGCAGAATATAACGATTTGCAAATCCATTTCAACCTAGATTCAATTGAATACGGTACAAAGACAGGATAGTTCATGTTCAATCTGATGAACGCTACTGGTTTTTTGCAGCATACAGAATATACCGTGGTGGTCCACAAAAAACACCGGTAGGCATCGTACCAAAGCGCCAATCCATCTTCCAGCAAATACACATGAGGTGGCTGGGAGACATCTGTGCTTAGTTGGATGACAGGAAGAAGGAAGGGGTACAGGTTCTTGCTCTCTGCACCGAGGCCCTGACAAAAAAAAAAAAAAGAGAGATCAATGTAAGATGAGGAGTTTAAAAACTGTACTTTCAGTTTAATGGGTGATCTATGCAGATCGTCTAAGAATGAAGTGGAACATAAGTTGGGTAAAGTTCAGTACAATAAAGCACAGACTCATTTATACCGAATGTAACACATTGTGTCACGGGATTCAGTTCTGCATCTTGGACCAAAACATTCCTTTGTTCGATTATTAAGAACATAACTGTCTTGGGAGATGTAAGATGCATTCAGGAGGGATACATATATATGTGCATAGCTTGTACTAAATAACACAGTATCTTGGTTCCAGGGAGATTCCATCGACTTATCTTGAACAAACTACATGCGCCAAGACAGAATGATTGCTTTTGAAAGCAATGTGCATTTTATAGCCTCCAATTTAAAAGCACTTGAAGTCGATTTACTTCAATTGGTTAGCGAAAAGTGGGTGTAAATTAAAGCTGAAGTTCAGCGACTATTTACTGGTCATATAGATTGAATGACATTACAAGGGGCACTGGTATCGAGGGAACAATGGAATTTTCCTTTATGAGGGACACACTGAAACAATTTTAAAAGCTAACCAATCAATCAAGCGTTATTGAAAGAAGCTGCATTCAATGCTTAAAAGGTGAATTCCTTCCATCATTTCATTCATTTTCTAAAGCCATAACATTCATTACAGTCAGGGATGTTGGAGTTTTCAGATGTTTATTGAATGCCAGTGTCTCTGATAGGGTAGTGGTACACACGCCGGACTTGTGTGCGGGCAGCGTAGGATCGGTTCCCACTCAGTGACGGTGTGAATGTGGATGTGAATGGTTGTTTGTCTCTATATGTGCCCTGCAACTGACTGGCGACCAGTTCAGGGTGTTATATGCTTTACACCCGAAGTGAGCTGGCATAGGCTCCAGCAACTCCTCGTGGTGTTGAAAATGGATGGATATTGAATGCTGGCAAAACAGTACAAACAACATTAGCGATGAGCATACTCACACAGGAGCTGCTGTTGGCCTCAGCTCACAGCCAAAAACTTCACAGGCAAACCTATCGGGCACTAACTAGTCACTAAAATACATTCATTAAAAAAAAAAAACCAAGCAAAAACAAAAACACTAAGCAATTTAAACATATTTCCAAAGTTTTAAATGTGTGGAAAGCGTGAGCAGTGGGTTATTATTTTTTAATTATTATTTTTTTTTATGGTTTCCATCCATTTTAAGTTTTTTTTTGGGGGGCGGGGGGGGGGGGTAATAACTTTCTGACATTCCTGTAATGGCAGCCTGTCACTGAAAAGTGCTAAGTTGACTGCCACTCAGCCTGTGGCATTTGAAAAGCACAGACTTTACTCAGCACCACTTAAGATTTGACACTTGAACATGGTTTTAGGTTAATGAGGATTTTTGGTCCATTAACCCATGTGTGAGCAGGGCTTGTAAGAGTGTGTGTGGTCCGTGTAGAAGTTGGAAAATAAAATCTCTTTTCCGTAAGAGTCTTACGAAAAATCTGTCTTAAAAATCACAAGAATACCTTTTTCTAGACAGTGACAAGACAATAATTGGGTGTAAACATGCCACTATCTTCGGTTCATGCCCCTCTGTGACTGCTGCATGACACTGCGGGTAACAAATGAGATGGTGTTGTGCAGCACAGAACATTGTCAAGCTGACTGGTGTTGTTTTGTTCATTAGGAGAGACTACTGCGTCCCTTGAGTTGTTTTGCAGGGACTTCAACAGAATGAAAATACTTCTGAGAACAAGCACTGCTAACATGAGAAAAATTTGCGGTACAGGCAAGGCAAATCCGTGATTTGGAACGGGTCCTACCTGCACAAGGTGAATAAGAGTGGTGAGTATGGCACATCGTAGCATGTTGTGGTCTTCGGATTGCTTCCAAAGCAGGGGCAAGTACTGCACCAGACAACCTACATATGGTCGGATCTGAAAAAAAAAGACAAAAACAAGTGTACTTCAAAATGAAAGCTAATTGTAGGACAGAACACAAACTTAAGATACCACAGCAGCAATATCCAAATGTATTAAAAATGATCTCACTGCAGAATTATCGAGAGCATTATCGAAACTAAGTGATGCCAATTAATACTTAAAGATGAAACATCTTCATATCCTTCATAAATGACAATGGTGTTCATTCAATTAACAGCAGCTCGGACGAGGCGTGAAACGGTATACAGTACCAGTACAGTAAAACCTCTACAAACACCAGTAAAATCTAATAAAAAAAAATAAAAAATACAACGAAAATAAAAAACTATGAACTCACGTGCTTCAACTCATTTAACTCCACAAGTGTCACCTTAAAAAGCTACTAGTGATATATAATAAGAAAGGTGGCCTGGTAAATTTTTTCCCAAAGCAGATTGTAACTTAGCATGTATTTGTTCCTTTGTTTAAAAGCTGAGTAGCTTTACTTTCAGAGGTTTAACTTTACACTTTGACGCATATGAAATGGTAATGATAATTTTGCCGGTACAGTTTAAAATTTGATGATGGCAGTTTGATCCTGGAACAATTCACATAAACAATTTGGAAATCAGCCAACCTCACAGAACGGATTGGAAAAAAACAAAAAAACAATGCACGTAGTTTTTACGCAGCTAGTCTAAAAGCAACATAAATCTCTAGGAGATGATGATGATGTCCTTGACTGTGTTAATATGCAGCATCCCATTTGTGGTTTATTGTAGTTCAAACAGCAGCTGCATTCCAAGTTGAAATGAAGTGTAAGATGCTCTCATAATGACAATGTAATATACATAATCAGCCCACTATGCCGTCCTCACTATGCATCGCAGTTAATGTGATATGGTATGAACAAGCCGGAGGCTAATTGGAGAATTTACCCCCCCCCCCAAAAAATGTTGGGAGACGTAGTCGAGATTTAACTTCAAAACAATTGTTTTCTTCCTGGTGGCAAAATGCACTAGATGCTCATGTACCCTGTGATGGTTTTGTGACCAGGTTGCATAACCCACACTGGGATCTTTTGCTTGATTCCGCAACTTTGTAACAAGCTGGACTGGAGAGTGAAACGGTAGGAGACACGGACAGAGCCAGAAATGAAGACATCGATCCTGCTAACAAACCCTTCATATGACAAACGTGAAAACAAAAAAAAGTTGCCTTTTTTTTCCTGTCATCATCTACACTCAGTGTGTATTTTTCTCAATCTCCCAACTGCCTTTGTGGGTCAAAATCCCTTTCTGGCAGGGTTAGAATGTTAATAAGATTCGCGCTGACTCTGGAGGTTTAGTCAGGGTCGGGGACTGGGGGAAGACTTAACCAGACTGACAGTTCACATGGATGAAAGCCATTTCTGTGACAGATTGAAGTCAAGGCATCGTTTAATGCAAGGTGCTTAAAGTGAATCTGAAAGGAGTCTGAGGAGGTCATTAAGAGGGTCAGCTTTTTTTTTCCCCCCTCCCCGAGTGTTGGCAGACATGTGGATGGGGGCAAATTATTGAATGCAAAAATATATAATCATTTTGGTATGGCCTTGAATTAAATCACTGTGGTGCAAGGGGGAACTGCGCCACAGGGTTAAGTGCGGAATGACATGGGCGTAAAGCCGCCTAAAGACTTGCCGTTAAAGTCATTTGTGTTACCACTGTCAGTATGACAAATCATTGAGATCCTTTGTGGGAAGACCCCCCTGGGTGATTACTTTGAGTGATGTTGCCGCCAAGCACCAGCAGCAGCAGACTGCAGCGCTGGGTCTCGCTCAAAAACATTTCTTTTTTGCTTGGGGAAAAAAAAAAAAAAAAGAAAAATTCTCGGATTCTGAGTCTGCCAAACCTCACCTGCGTGTTGACTCTTTCAATAACGCAGGAGATGACATGGAGCACCTGCATTTTGGTGTCACACTCTGTCACCTGCTGCAACAGTTGGAAGAGCAGACCGAATATGGACTCCAAGTACTGTGTGGAGTGGTAAAGAGTCACTGTGAATATCTTCTCAATTTAAACAACAAGCCTTGAACAGAGGCGAAACAAGTACTCACGGGGAGGAACTGCTCTGTCCGGAATTCAAAGTCATCGACAGGTAGCGGTGAGAGTTAAGGGCAGAGTAAAACTGGAGAAATATAGGCAACCCCCAAAAAATAAAATAAATAAATAATAATAAAATCACAGCAAGAAATACATGATTGGAGACAACCCCAGTGACGGGATAGCAGCCTAATTATATTGTAAATACAATGTGCTGTACTCCCCCCTATATTTGGCATTCATTATTTACAAATTCACCAACACGTACTCGCGCTTTTATTTTTTGGTGTGTGTGTGTGTGTGTGTGTGTGTGTGTGTGTGTGTGTGTGTGTGTGTGTGTGTGTGTGTGTGTGTGTGTAATCTCTTTCCTTAGCTTTTCACAGAAACACTTTTTTCCGGGCTCCTTCTGAAATGCCCCAACACGCCAGACAAGACATTAACCGACATTAATGACATTAAAAGAGGATTTGTTTCATCACACAATACATATTTTGGAAAAGTTTTGTATTGGTGGGGTTTCAACTGATTTATTCTCACATCTGGGAACTCTCCTATGTATTTAGAGAGTTTCAAGGCACTTAGGCCTTGGGTGGAGGTACAACAGGGCTCCAAATATAGCTACGGGACAAAATTGCCATTTGAGACCACCTACTTCAGACCACTTCTTGGCCAGCAATCGTCTAAATTCTGAAAGGATATTGAGCTTCAGAGTTGTAGCCGTCTCAATCCGCACCTGTGGGGGGGGGAAAAAACAAAGGAAAAAAAAATAAACTTTCTCATCAGTTCAGTCTGGATTAGTTATAGACACAATAATCAATCAATGGATTAAGAATTCTGCTCATAGTGTAGATGTGATTATTGTATCTTGGTGTCTTTGAGAAATTAAACCAAAAAGGAGAGCATGACTGGGCTGTGGATAAAGTCCCAACAAAGTTTACTGTCGAAACAAGTGCAACATGAGGTCAGCTATGGTAAACTGCGACATACCCCAAGTCCCTGCAATGGCAAAACAACCTCAGCCTCCAAATGTTAACAGGCTCATAATGCACAAATGATGTACTCACCAACTAAGGTGTAAAAATTGTGGAAAGTAGATGAGAACTTCTCATCACATTAATTGACTGGGCAGTAAATGTCACAGAAATCCATTAGCTAAGTTGTGTGTGTGTGTGTGTGTGTGTGTGTGTGTGTGTGTGGGGGGGGGGATACCAAGGTCAAATCCAAGCACTTTTCAAGCACATTCAAAATCAACTTAAGAGTTTTGAGAGTACGACAGTGCTAAAAACAGTCAAAGGGGTGCTGTTTATTTTTTGATACAGCAATGACTAATGATAGTTAAAAAAAATGTCTGAAGGTTGGTAACTTAAAAATACTACAGCATTTGTTTTCCTCATCTCAGTCATAAAACCACTCAGTTCCATAAGGTTTTATAACATACCAAGAAAGCAGTTTATATAAAGTTACAGTGCATTTTAATGCTGTAATGTGGATTAAAATTTCCTTGCAATAAAGGAAGCTTTCTTGTACGGAGAGAAAAAAAATGGCACATACAAGATCCAAGTATTGTCAAAGCTATGTAAATATCTCTTGTTGGATATATCTTTTGCTTTTCCAAAGTCACGTCACCATCCACTTTCATATCCAAAGGGTGCAATCTTGCCGTGTCAGAGTGATGGCGGTGGTAATGATGCCCGGGGGAAGAGCAAGCAGATGGAAGACAGGAATTAAGGAAAGTAAATGAGTGAAGAAATTGGTGGGAGACTTAAAAAGTCCATTACAGTTAGTGCTTTGCAGCCCTTATCCTCAACCAGCGCGGATGCCTGGGCGAGAATACGAGTCAGCAGTTTTTTTCCCTTTTTTTTTTTAAACGACAAAATGTTATCAATATCAATAAAGGGGTTTTACAAGGGTTAGTATGAGCTTTTAGGGAGAGTATATGACCACATCTTCCGCTGTGTAATACCCACTGTATTTTTTTTCAATTTAGATAACACACTGTGGAGACATGACATTGAAGAACAAGAAGCAGTCAGTAACAGTAGTGTGTTGTTATTGGTCAATTTCTTAAAGAAAACAAAAGTGTATAATAACTTGTTTTCACCTGGACTGGGTAGAAGATAAGTAAATTACCCAAATAACTGCTTGAGCCACATCAATGTTCAATGTTACACATGCTGGTAGCAAACAAAATTAGACCGTTTGGACGCGCTCTATTTTTTTTCTCCCCCTCTTAACACATTGCTGAAATATCGGATTGGGAATCGGTATTGGAAGAAACTCAAAATCAAGTGACTCTGATGTGAAAATATTTACAATAAACACAATATGTGATGGAACATGCCCAGAGCTAGTGAGAGCTCACAGGACATTGCTGAAAATGTAGCAGTTTCCAGTGCTTTCACCAACACCTATTTACTGAGAGAAAGCATACCTGAGCATTCCTAACTCAAATCGTCACTCAAAACACACGGCAAAAAATAAACTAATGCAATAAAGCGATGGCTCATAACCCAGGAAATTAAGATGGGACAGTCCTTAGTCAAGGTATGCAGTACAACTCTTACAATACATTTTTGAGGCAGAAAAATGTTGAAGATGTCTGTATAAAGCAGCCGAATAGGGTAAACAGGTAGCATGTGCTGTCAAGCATTGAGTTATTAATTTTTTTTTTTTTTTTTAAATAAAGATGTTCACACAATGACTGAAAGAAAGAAAGAAAAAAAAAACATCCACTCAACAGCTTTTCCACATGCTATAAAGTAGAAATAGCCATATTGGACCAACAATGACGGACGCATCAGGCCCGTCAGATGTTGTCGGCACTGGCTTTAATAATTCAAACACACTCCATTTCAATTAGTGTGCAAAGTGTGGAAGACAACTTGATGAAATTTGGTCAAAAGAAAAACAATCTGGGTCACGAGAAAAACAATCTATCTGTCTGAGCACCTAACTGAAAAATTGGTGCAGCATTAATAATCACTCTTAAACTGTGTGACAGAAAAATGCATTGGTTATAAAGTATAAATGAGGAGAAAATGAGTTTGGCAAAGCTCACTGAATCAGAAAGAAAGGTTTCAACCTGGGGCGCAGTTGATTTACATTTAACATGTTTAGCATAAAACAGATTAAATTCCCATAAATACCTCCAGAGTGGGACAACTTCCATTGTGGTATCACGAATACACAGTTTGAAGGCAAACCAAATGAATTTGTTAAGAATGCAACACAAACACACACGTATGCGATATTAGTACTTTAAGCTGGGGGACTGCGCAACATATTTGAAGTTAAACTTGTTCATTACATTTCCTTAATCAGGTTAGTAATCCACTTCAACTTGTGGTCCCTCAATTACAAATGACTGTTCACAACTGTATTCCATTGCAGGTCCATTAAGAGAACATCCACATTGGAACATCTTCAAAGCCCTCACCTGCAGATGAGGCAAAGTAATTAACTTGTTCCTATATTGCCGGGGCTTTACGTTTTCAGCGCAAGCTTAGCGACAAATTCAAAGTAAATCAATGCCTCCCACTGAAAATGCAAATGCTTGGGGAGGGGGGTGGGGGGGGGGGGCTTGGATCCTAGATCCTCTTCAGCATTTGCATAAAATGTATGCATAACCCGAACGTAGAAGCAGCAGGAGAGAACATCGTCATTAGAGAAAAGAGCCAATGTTAGGTTGTCTTTCATGTACATTTATTTGGTGATTTCTTTTGTTAGCTGGTGCCCATTTGGGATCAATACTAGTAACGCATTGTGGTCTGGGAGGCTCTAATTCACACAGCCAATATTGAACTTGAGCTAAAAATGATTGGTGAGCTAGTAAAGGAGCTAACAGCGGCTTTTGCTACGCATTTTCTTGAATAAAGTGCGTCTGAAGAGACATTCGTAGGTAAAAGTGCCACTGTATTGCTGGGAAAAAAAAAAGGGCAAACAGAACTTCCTGTCGGGATGTACAATCGCAGACTATCGTAAGCGTAAAGATATTTAATTAAACACCACGAAAAGTGCAGGCATTACATGTGCAAGCAAGGAATAAGAATTGTATATTTTCTTCCCTCACATCACCATATAAAAGGGCATTGGGGTTTGGGAGAGCTGCACTCTTATTTTCCCTTAATGAGTAGACTCTTGAAACGCATGATCAAAATATTGACCACGAACAAACGCGTAGTGTAATGCTTACATCATAGCAGACTGTGAGAGGTAATTACAGAAAAGGCATCCATACGCAAGACGCAGCTCACGATTGCACGGCGAGTGGTTCTCTCGTCGCTTCATGCGGATGACTCAACCAGTGCACATCTTGTTTCATTTTACACGTTTGAGTAACATTGCGTTTGTGAACTATTGCGGCATATTGTGGTTGGCCTATCTGGCTTAATGAATGGGAAAGGGAAAAAAACTTGATTTCGTCATTTTGTTGATATGCTGGCAGTTAAATAAAATGAATGTCACTTCTACGGGTGTGAGGTACTTCTTCCTCGAGGGAAGAAATAAAACACTTTATCCAGCCAGCCTTCATTTCCTGCAAAGCCCTGAGGAACTAGCATAGCATATTGAAGAGAGGTGAGCCAATCTGAATTGTCGCGCTCGATGTAACCGTGGATTTTTTTGAAGCTGACTTACCACTAAGTCCGGATCCTGCATGAGAGTAAGAATGACCTCGTAGAGTAAAGGGCGAAGGTCCGATTTGAATTTGACTGAGATCCACTGGCCTATTAGCCAGATGACTCGCCGTCGAATCAGCTTGTACCTGCAGAGAACAATGAGATTGCATTGAGGTACAGACATGGAACTTGGTTCAACTCGGTTGGGGGGGGGGAAAAAAGAAATACTTTATATGGAGGCAAAAATAAATCATTGAGACATTGTGGTGACACGCACACGCGTGCACACTGGGGATGGGACTGTGTTCAGAATTGAGCAATCACATTCAAAACTCATGTCAAATGTGAGTCAACTCACATCTGCCACGCTTTCAAGTAACTCGGATTAACCCCAAATAAAGTTCAGATGTCCCAGTAGGCATTTCCCCGTGATTTCTTTTGAGGGCGGAGGGGCTTCACAGCAAAAGAAAAAACAAATCAACCTCCAAAGCATGATGGTGTCACCACTATAGGTATGCTGTTTTTGCCTTTTTTTTGGTTGTTTTTTTCCCCCCAATGAGCAGTGTTGTGTTTATGCCATACTACTATATTATACGATGGCCAAAAGGTTCAACCATGTCTCCATATGACCCCCTTACCATTTTCATTCTCGCCTTTTCATTTGTAATTTTGGTGGGCCGTCCAGTTCTTGGTAATGGTTGTGCCATATTTTCTCCACTTGATGATTGTCACACTGTCTTCCATGGTATACTGTACTTGTTAATTCTCTTGTATCCTTCCCCTGACTGATACCTTTGAACAATGAGAGCTCTCTGATGCTGCGGAAGCTCTCTGTGGAAGATAGCATTTGTTGGAAGAAGTGACTTCAAAAAAGCAAACTAGGGCTGTGTTCGAATGTACACTATTCGCAATATGGCACACTACTAGGGGGTTATGCCATTTTGTAGGGGTGTTCAAATGTCGAAAAGAAAAACTGCAGCGAACAAGAACATGACTCTGGACTTAACAGAAGCACCATGCCTCTTGGGGACGTGGTGGGAATTGGAGTCCAAGTGTAATGCCGAAAAGCTTTCGATATTCTAGCGAATTTGGTGGATTTTTTTATTTTTATTTTTACGTGATAGAGATGAGCACCGGTTATCACTTGGATGACTGAGCAGTGGTCTTGCATCTGTTCAACGATGTTGAATGCTCTGACTGAATTATTTTGTACTTTGTTTTTGTTCAAATTCTCATTTGCTTGAGAGCTGATCAACATTTGATGAAAAAAAATTACTTAACACCGCTGTGTTGAGGGGGGCGGGGGGGAATCAATCAATACATGTCAGTCTTTTGAAATTCGAAGTTAAACATGTTTTATTTATAGCTACTCGTGAGCCTAAATGGAGTTGACTTATCGTCTCGCAAAGAAAAGATGGCATTGAAGCAGTGGATCAAGTGAATAGAACAGATGAGCATCTAATTAAGGTAGGTTTTGAGCCAAACTGAGTCTCGCAGTGCATTTTGATTCTCTACAAGCCACTATTTTAACCGAGGCATCTGGCCCACTTCCAACCTGACCAAGCAGGTACAGCGGTTGCCAGAGAAAAATGGCTTTGGCAATAGCCCCAGAGCGCTCTGATTAATCAGGCTGCATACAACAGCTCCCCTTGAGCATGTTAAGAATCATGTGATATCACAAATGAGTAAAAGATGATTAGTTGTGGGGTATTCTTCAAGAACATTAAAAAAAAGAGGACTTCCGTCACATAGTGTTGACAAAGATTTGTAAGTGGAAGCAGGCAAAAAGTCTCAGGGCTTGATGTATACAACGATCCCAAATAGCGGGCGCTAAATTGTGTTTGAGCGCTTGTGGCGGGCGTGATGCGTGTGATCCACTGAAGATTTGTGAAAGAAAAAAAAAACGCGCAAACTACTGTGCGCGCAAACAGTTCCTTTTGCATCTTTACATAACACACCTGAATGACAGGTGTAAGCCTGGTGCAAAGCGGTACCAGCGTAGAAAACGAAAGACGAAAGGGAGAACATTTTTCGCTCTGCGAAAGAGCCGACCTCGTATATCGCAAACTAAAAAGGTCAGGCCCATCAAAGGCAAAGTAAAAATGTCACTCTTTCGCAACATTCTTCGTATGCTGTCGGAGTCTGACAATGGAGCAAACCACGTCTGCAGGACACAAAAGCTTTCTTGGCAATCCGGCATTAGTACCACAAAGGGTATTTAAGGCACAAATGATGGATGAGCAATACGGTCGTCATATTTTCATTCTGTGTGGGCAAGTTTACTTTCCTTTATGTGAGGTGTCCAACATGGTCAGTCATCACACTTCCAGCTCATCAAATGGAATGGTAATTACACTTGATTGAACATGAAGGTGAACTGACACTAAAACAAAACTCTGCCACTCACTAAATTTGCAAGCTCAAAGATAAACATCACAGGCTTCACTATTTGTGTGCGCCGACACCAGTGAGCATGACGGTCCAATCAGGATTAATTGCCTTACCTCTACACAAATATACCTCTGACAAATTAACTTGCTTATAATAGATAACAGTCCGCAAATCCTGCCGGCCCTTGCTATAGTTCGGTTTCAGACGTCACAAGTGACGCGTGCGCCGACGTCATCTCATCACCTCGTTGCAGGATGCCGGTGTGGCTGTGTCAAGGCTCACACAGTTGTATATATATTGATTCTGCGCAACAAGCAGGGCGTTGCCATTTCGTCTGATATGTCTCCGCTGCGGCTATTTTGCAGAGCCCCACTGTGTTCCAGAGGCATTACTCTTCAGCTACTACTTTGACATGACAATCATTTCATTGATGTTACAGCCACAACAATCATCCAATCACTATTTGTTGTTGAAACCCTACCCTCACAAAAGTTTTTTTTCGCCCCTGCAAAATCCCAAAGTAGTTTTGAACAAGCGATGTCACTGGTAGTAAAGAGAGGAATTGTAGACCAAACCAAGGACATCGGGACATTGACCATCTTGTTAATGAAGAGGATCCAAATGTCATGTGGTCCACCTGGACTCTAATCAGTGTGTTTGGCGACATCATTGCCACCAAATCTGGTCCAGGCAGACATCTGTTTGGGGCACCATGGCTCACAGGTTTCACAAGACCTGCAGCAGATGGAGTTTTTCAGCTCCATCCTGAAAGTTTTGTGGCCAGGCATGGGTATAATGCGGTGTCAAACTTTTTTTTTTTTTGTAAACTAGCATCTTTCTCTGCCAAAGCAAGTGTTTTTCCCCCCCTAATTTTTATAAATGCTTGACCACAGCTGTTTGACATTTTTCCCTTGGCACTCAAAGGTAGTTTTGTTCTTTGTGTTCAAAGGTAAATGGGATGAAGACAAACATCCCAGAGGCACCTAAAGTAGGTAGACAGGATAGTATGATTTGGTTTACACACGCACACAAACAAACAAACAAACAAACAAACAAATAAATGATACAAAAACACTGAGAAAATATTGAAATAAAAATTGGTGTACCATTTTGGGGTATTTGACTCTGGACTTTGTCCTGCATCTGAAAGCAGTGCTTCTCCGAAAGGTAATTGTCTACAACTTTTATGCAAAGGACAAGTTTAGAAACTGGTAAAGCTGCCAGAAAAGCTACTTTGAATGAGACTTTTTGTTTGTTTAGAGATACTGCCAAGTAGATGACTTACAGTATATCGACAATGGTGAAATGCATTTCCCACTGTAATCACAGTCTCAAAGTTTGTTTTTGATAGAATGTATCTAAATATAACGCGAATGTCAAGTGGATTCTTTTTATCTTCATAATTACAGCACAACAGCCACAGTTCTTTGTGAGGTTCTCCAACACGGTGTCTGAAGACATTGTTCCCACCAGCATGTTTTTCCCCTTCATATGTCAGAGGACCTAACTAACGCACACCACTGGGAAACATGCAGGCCAGCCTCTGCATGTACAAAGCATACACAGAGCTATGCATGCACGAGAGAACAAAAAAAAAAAAACATGCCAGTAATTGCTACAGGGGGAAAACGAATAACAATCAGTCAAAAAAAAAAAAAAAATCACTTTAATATTCATGAAGTTTCTACATCGGTCTTGCAAAGTCTCTTCAAACAACTCAAGGAGCATGTACAACCTAGTAGAACAAGAAAAACTCAGCAGGAGGGCTTTGACTACTTCTAACACTGACTAAAAGGAACTGGTGGTGAGTTACTATTTTGCATGTGCCTTAAATGAAGAAGGATAACAACTTCATTTTGTGACACAAAGTGAAATTAAAACAACACACCCCACAAGTCCTCTCACATTCAATGAGCCATTTATTTTTATGATGCTTTCTGCTTCTATGTCCTCCGCTTCATCAGACGGTCAATAAGTTTCACCAACCCTTCAATCAAAACTTGAGGACATTTAGGTTTTGGCCAGATAGGTCACCATAACATGAAGCATTGATCACATTTCTGCAAGACCAAACTGAATTTCTATGACAAAGGAAGTCAGAAAACAACAAAAACAGTGAAACATCTTGATTGTGAGAAGCAAAACAGTAGAGTTGAATCCTCAAACCTTGCATTTCTTTTACCAAGTGCTACTTGTATACGGACATGCTTTTGACAGACAAGAAGAAAGACTAGATTTGGAGACAAGAGAAAATAAAATAGTCTGTAAGTCTGAATTGCTGCTGCCTGAGTACTGACTGGTATAAGGGGGGGATTCATATTTCCCCAGTACAAGCTTGAACAAACTGGCTTACTAAACAAATCAGAACTGAATTTGAAGCTTTGTTCTGTTTCACTCTAATGTTTCAGCAACTCTACAAGAAAAATTGGAAGTCGGAAAGAAACTTTTGGCTCGATAGATATATACCTTCAAGCGTATGTTATATTTCTGTAAGAACAAACTTTGACGAAACATGAATGTCCCCCCCAGAAAGAAACTTACTGCTCACATCTGATATGATGAAAATGACAATGGGAATGTTTTTTTGTGATCAAAACAACAGCGGAATAAACAAACATTAAATCCTTGGAGTCAGCAGCCACGTTGGCAAAACAAAGTAAAATGGACTGAAGCGCCTGAGCAACAGTGTCATAGTGACATCAGAGTGCCAGCTCGCTGACGTGCAGAGCCGCCTGAGTGGCTGATCTTTGGAGCGCTGCCGGGTTGGTACTTTGATTGCCCTGGCATTTGTGCCTGCAGGCCGCTCCTTTGTTCTTCATATCACTCACACCAGTCACTCTCCCACTTTCTCATCACTTTTTAAATGTGCTCATCTCTCGGCTCGCTGCCTGAGTCTGCAGACGATATGAGAGCGTGATGAGGCTGCACTGCCGCCTCAACTGCTGTGTCACTAGACCGGGAGCAAATGAGTGGACGCAGGCAGTGGCTAATGCAGCCGACACATATCGGCTGGGTACTAATGAGGCATTTGGCATATACTGACTGTGCTGATTATTCAACTCAATAGCGTAACAGAGGTCAATAGGCAATTAGCTGGAGTCACTCTGATAGGAATGTGAAATATGAAAAATCGTAAACATTGTTGATGTTTGAAAAACAACATGTTCCAAGTTGAAGATCAATTTATATGACAGTGGAAGCAAAACCAACCTTTGAATGTGTATCAAAATGCCAGGTACACTGACAAATGGAAGAGTGAAACCTCCAATGTCAAACATAATCCATAACGTGACCCAAGTTGTTCTAATGTCAAATCAAAATCCTCCCATAAGAAATAAACAAATCCCTTTGTTCCAGGCTCAAAATGTCACAGTCATAAAATCTTTATTAACTTAGAGGCAATGTTGTAATTAACATTTTAATATTCCTGTCACTTAAATGTAAAAAAAAAAAAAAAAACCTGCATCATACGGATTAAAATCAACCAACACAATATACTACGACACACCCTTTGAAGTGGGCCTGAATGATATAACATTATCCTATCAATATCTAGTCAAGATATTAATGTGGCAAGGCCAACAATATTAACAATAAAATATTTTCCCCACATGCAACATTTTTTTCTTTTTTTGGGGGGTGGGGGGTCCAAACTCCAACTTTCAGTCAGATTTCAGTAAGATTTCTATTTATATTCCAATTAAAAAAAAAAAAATCTTCAGAATGCTGCAATATTTCATCTTTGTTGACCATCTCAGACAAAACCACTCATCTTGCGGTTATTTCTTACATAAAATGCAATTAATTTGTATTAACGCACATTTCATATTGCTGGCGTAGGGCCAGAACGCTGTAGATCACACTTTGGTCAATTTGATACTTTTTCATAAATCTATACTATTTTTATTTTTATTTTTTTTTACAAATTATTGGCCCAATCTAAAGTGTTTGATAAATGGCTTTGAAGCAGAAACGCAAGGTCACCTGTGATGGCTGACTTGCAGCTCCCCGAGAAGCTGATTCTTGAACCACTGGTCAAAGTCCACATTGTCAAACAGCTCGAAGGCAGCCAATCCCACTGCGTTGAACACTGCAGACAGTGCAAGAAAAAGCCATAAAACAAAGTTAACAAATCAATATTCTATCATCAAGAATCCGAACTGAAACAAGCTAGTACATTTTTGTACAGCATTCGACAGTGATGTGAAATAGTATTTGCCCCGTTCCTGATTTCTGGGTTCTTTGCATACTACTCACATACAAAGGCTTCAGTTCATCAAACCAATTTCAATATCACACAGAGACTACCCAAGGAAACACAAAATGCAGTTAAACAAGAGTTATAATTACAGGAATGGAACGATTGTCTGATGCAGCTATATGGCACATGCTCTTATGGAAACAGTGAAATCATGCAGTCAAGTGAAGCACTTAGGATGTCGATGACTGCAGGGCTTTCGCTACTGTGGAAGTGGGAAGCCAAGATAATGTCCTCCAAAGTACAGGGCAGCAGGACAGTGGTGTGCACATATGCCTCACAGGGAAAAAAAAATATAGAAAATGAAATAAAATGTGATCAAGCGGCTTGTCCAGCTTGGGCAGCTCCATGCCTCTCGGTCACATTTGCTCTGATTCGTTCTGACTAACAGATGCGCGAGTACAAAGAGTCAGACAAGACAGATGGGCCGAAGGTGCTGAAGCAAGCGTTTGGATTCTTATCAACGGAACACTGCCAGAGGTTGACTATTCTGGACAGGTAAATGGAACTGTCGGAAACTCTGCTAATGGTATGGTGAGTTCAACTAACTTCTTCGAAGCAATTAAAGAGATTACAGACACAGTAAATAAACATCTAATTCTTTGTTGGGAAGTCAATTTCGGATCTTTTCCTGCTGACATGTATACGGGGTGCCTGTCTCTTGTGTTTGAAAAAGCTGGTCCCTTTCACATGGTCTTGCAAAAGCCAGCCTTTTCCTACCTTTTTCCATGTTGCTGTACTGTAGTGGCAACAGCACAAAATGGAGGGTCAAGAGTTGCAAGAACATGTGGACATAATGGCATTCTGGCTGGCTGATATCAACCAGCCCAAATTGTTTTTAAAAAAAAAAAAAGGTAAATGAAAAATTGAGTTTGATCATCCCATTTCACTTGAATTCCCCTTATCTTATAGAAAAAGCAAATGAGAGTGACATTCAAAGCAAATGACTCCCCCCCCCACCCCCCCCCGCCCACCTCTTGGAATTTGCTTTATTTCTCCTGGTAGACACTAAATAATCTTCAATCCTCCCTCAAAGTGCAGCTAAATAGAGAATTAAAGTTGCTGGCTGTGGTTTGAAACACACTGGATGATAACTTTGATTTATTCATTCACACATAGTATTTTAATAGCCTGTGTGATGAGTAAGAGACCCTGGTCCAAACAGCAAGCTCAGGTTATTATAGACTGTTGAGTACCAACAACCCAACCGCATCATGAATGTCAGATCCTATTAAGGGTGCTGTTAAAATGGTCATTATTTACTCATCACACATTTTTCTCTTCAACAGGGTTGACGTTCAGAGTTGTAATTATCTACAACAGTGCACACTGTGTACAGCTTCATGATCAAGTTGTGTTTTTATCAAGACTGCCAGGAGATGACTGATGTCTCAACACTCGACGTATCCACTTGGGAGGCAATTTGATTCACTTTTGGATGCCGTTAAATCCTCCCAAGCGGCAGCGCTGACTTTCCCTTGTCCAAACACTGTGACGATGTAAAAAGAAGAAATGAAAAAGAGGTTTAACTCACCCGCATCCTTCATTAACAACTGAACAGGATCTTCCACGTTGGTTGGGCCTGCAATAAAACAAAACATTTTCATTTATGAGGGAACTATTGTGGAGCTCTGCTGTTCACCACGGATTAGGACCGAGCCTGATTGTAAATACAGAATTTCAGAAAATAATTGACACCCCCCTGAAAGTGATTAAAATTGCCTATTTTAATCGTTTAAAGCAGGGATAGGCAACTTAAGTGATGAAGAGGTGCCACAAGTTTTCATCAGCCCTACTGAGGAGTTGCATACTTCCCAACAAAATTGTATGGCAAAAATTGCATTTTAGATAGGAAAAAAATGTACATCACACCATCTTTATACAAAGTATTTTATGCTCAGTGCATGTATAAAATATGCAGCCTTCAAAAACAAAAAATTACAAAGTTTTTTTTTTTTAGTCGTGCTGGACAGGAGCAGGATGGGATGAGAGTCCTGTTCACTGGGAGTGGGATGGGACAGGATTTTACACACACACACACACACACACACACACACACACACACACACACACATACACACTCATTATCCTTTTTGATAC